CCAAGCGTGGCAACCCAAACACTGAGTACATCCCAAGCGTGGCAACCCAAACACTGAGTACATCTCAAGTGTGGCAACCCAAACACTGAGTACATCCCAAGCGAGGCAACCCAAACACTGAGTACATCTCAAGTGTTGCAACCCAAACACTGAGTACATCTCAAGTGTGGCTGTTCAACTCTATTTAGAAAATTTAGAAAAAAAAAAGTTACCATTACGTTAATCTACTTTAAGAATCAGTGACGTCACCAGCTCCGATCCATACTGAAAATTAAATAAATTAAACTTACATTTTTCGCACACACATTATAGAGGAGATTTTTTGGATTTCTTTTAATGCCCGCATTCCCTTTAAAAAAAAAATATCAGAGCATTGGGCATTATATCAACCACGTGACCCTTTCGTCGCCCCACAACCGCATCTGATATCCGAGACGGTGTCAAAAAATGATCGCCCTCACCTGGCGGCAAGGTGGAAGGCGGTCTGCCTGTTCTTGTCTTTGATGGTTGGGGACGCCCCCAGCTTCAGCATCCTCTCTACCGCCGGCACGTAGCCTTCCTTGGCGGCCAGGTGAAGTGGGGTGTTACCATGGCAATCCTTTTCGTTAGTTCTTTCCTTCATGTTGTCAAAATACTGGGTAAAAAAAACACAACAATTGTTAGAAACCAAATGTTCGTTTTATGATTTCTTTCTATTTTAATTTTAATCTTGAAATTGCCGTCATCATAAATTTTACGACGTCTGTCAAGGTTTAATTGAAAGTGTCAGACAGTGTTGCTTTTTTGAGATGTCTGGCAAAAGTAATTTTACGACGTCTGTCCATGTTCATTTTACTATGTTTGACAATGTTCATTTTCAGATGTTTCTTCGTGCCCATTCTACGGTGTATGCCTATTTTAATATAAAATTAACTGAAAAAAACGTATGTAAACCGTATGGGTATGTTTAACCTTATAATATTTGCCCAGTGTTTGGTCATTGTAAAGGCGGGGGGGGGGTAAATCGGAGATTATTATTTTTTTTACTCCAGTGACCTAAGGAAATCTTGTTTAAAAATCATTAAAAAAAATTAAAAAAATTTAATGAATATCTCATACAAAATAAAAATTGTTAGGCCTCCACATAATTTTGACACAAAGGAAACAAAACTTTGTAAGAAAAGTCCAAGCTAACAAAAATGTTTCCAAAATAGAGAGCTTCTGACACCATTTTTAAAAAATAGTCATTCTTGTCTGGTGCTTTGTTACGTTATCTTTCGATTGTCCCGTCTTTTCATTTTAAGCTATAGCATATGTTGCTCCCTTATATGTTGTAACCAACTTACAGTTACAAAAGAACAAATTAAACAGACGTAAATAAATCTAAGATCAAAGTTCTGTAAGAGTCCCCCCCTACCCCCCACCCCAACCTTAAGTCCGTCAAAGAGCACTTGTAAGTCCACGCCCCTGCGGATGGCCAAGTGCAGGAAGTTGTGCCGAGAGCTGTCCGTGGCCGAGCCGTCGGCCCCATTGGCCAGCAATAAGTGAAGAGCAGCCCAAGAACCGTTGCTGGCAGCCGACAGGAGTGGAGTCTGCTGGTTGAAGTCACTCGTGTTGACGTCTGCACCCTGGGGGTAGTGGGGGGGGGGCAAATTTTCGATATTTATAAAAAAACAACTACTTAAATATATATACGAAGGAGCTAAGCTGACCATGTAACACTAAAAACAAATAAAGCTACCGCCAAGATTTCGGATATTCACAAAAAAATGTGGTTTTACTAGTTTTACGGTAATCGAATACATTTAGATATGATAAACATAAAATATATCTGCTCTTATTTAAGTACATGTTTAAGTATTGTTAGTATAAATTAGAAATACATTTACTATAACAATTACATACATATTTACGCATTTTATGCGAAATCGAAATTTTAGATATTTTTTTTTAAAATCAATAAATGAACAATTGATGGAACTATTTTCACTCTAACAATTTTGCAATTTATTAAATTTATATAGGAACAAAAAATGGAAATCAGCTTTTTAAAAAAAAATGCTGCTCATTAAAATACATTTTTTTCCTCAATATTTCCAGTAAATTAGTACATTGAATGGCGAGGGAAATTAGTACATTGAATGGCGAGGGAAATTAGTACATTGAATGGCGAGGGAAATTAGTACATTGAATGGCGAGGGAAATTAGTACATTGAATGGCGAGGGAAATTAGTACATTGAATGGCGAGGGAAATTAGTACATTGAATGGCGAGGGAAATTAGTACATTGAATGGCGAGGGAAATTAGTACATTGAATGGCGAGGGAAATTAGTACATTGAATGGCGAGGGAAATTAGTACATTGAATGGCGAGGGAAATTAGTACATTGAATGGCGAGGGAAATTAGTACATTGAATGGCGAGGGAAATTAGTACATTGAATGGCGAGGGAAATTAGTACATTGAATGGCGAGGGAAATTAGTACATTGAATGGCGAGGGAAATTAGTACATTGAATGGCGAGGGAAATTAGTACATTGAATGGCGAGGGAAATTAGTACATTGAATGGCGAGGGAAATTTGGTGGTTATTTGAGTGAGTGTGTGAGTGTGTAAGGGGTGGGGGGGGGCGTGTGGGGTGTACATTTAAATACCCGAATCTTCAAACCCTGATCATATGTTTGAGCTTTAAGATGGATTTTAATTTAAAAACAGACCAACTATTCTTTATACATACGAGATAAGCCGATGAACTTAAAAAAAAAAGAAAAAAAAAGAAATAAAATGAAATAACAGACGCGGTAAAATGGCGTTGGGACATTTAAATTTGATAGAGTTCTTGGTTGGGCAGAACACGCGTGATGGAGTTACTAACGGGATCACCTTGGGCTACTTTTATTCAGGCTTGTTTAAAAACGTAACAAAGTATTTGAATGTGTGGAGTAGAGGGCTGCAATTGTTGACATCCCCCCCCCCCAAGGCAGCACACGATACGCCATAGAATGGATGGGGGGCATTTGATGAGTGTAGCCATATTTCAATGTTCAAATAGGTTACACACCGGAAAATTAATTTGTGGATAGTTTTAAAACTAATGAAATAATTTATTCAACTTTCTACTGCAAACTCATTTCAGTGAAAAGTGAATGACACTTTATTTAGATCGGACTATTTGACCGTCGTTGAATGGAGACATTTGATTTTCTTTCAAAACAAACGAATGTGTGCTACAGTAATGTGCTCCAGTAATGTGCTACAGTAATGTGCTGCAGCAATTTGCTGCAGTAATGTGGGAACATGCAGTTCAAGGACATTGCCACACAGTGGACACATTTAAGCGTAACCATTCCTAAAAACTTAATAAAGTTGAAAACGTAAAAGAGTGGATTAAATTTTCCTTGAAATCGTAACTTTTCGATCTATACAGTTCAGGGGTGAGGATAAAGGTGGGCACATACTTATGGGGTATGCTTGTATAGCTGCGTGTCATCTGCAAATGACTGCCTCTCAACAGCATGCCTCCCAAGCAATAGCAGCAGTGGTCTGGTATACAATTTGAATAGAATCGGGCCTAAAACGGACCCTTGTACACCAAATCAGCACTGCATGAGAGACAGCCATCGACAGAGACCGCCTGCGTTCTATCAGAGAGGTAGGACCTAAACCAATCCAAAACTGAGCCAGAAATTCCAAAGTAATTTTCAAGGGTTTTGAAAAGGATTACATGGTCAACAGTTTCAAAGGCCGCACTGAGGTCTAAGAGGATCAGGATGGAGATATCACCACTGTCAAATGCGAGCAAGAGGTCATTGGTCACTCTCAAGAGAGCCGTCTCTGTGCTGTGGAAATGTCTATAGGCATTTCTAGGGCATGGAAAGGGTGTCTTATTTTTAGCAAATGTCCCATTTCTCGAACGCAGGGAAGGCGCCACGAGTAGCTAAACTTAGAAAGTCAAAACATATTCAAATCCGAATTACCAATGAAATGAGATATTTGACAACATCCACGTGGTTGAAGAAGGTGGCCCAGTGGAGAGGCGTCTTCCCTTGGATGTCCCTCATCGACACGGCCATGTTCATTCGCTTCTTGTCCATCAGGTACATGGCCCTCAGCATGTCAACATTACCTTGAGTGGCCGCGTAGTGGACCGGCGTTGAGCCGTCATCCTAGGAAAACAAAAGGCAAGGGAAGCTATTGGCAAGGGCAAGGGAAGCTATTGGCAAGGGCACGGGAAGCTTTGGTCAAGGGCAAGGGAAGCTATTGGCAAGGGCACAGGAAGCTATTGGCAAGGGCACAGGAAGCTATTGGCAAGGGCGAGGGAAGCTATGGGCAAGGCCAAGGGAAGCTATGGGCAAGGGAAAGGTAAGCTATTGGCAAGGGCAAGGGAAGCTATGGTCAAGGGCAAGGGAAGCTATTGGCAAGGGCAAGGGAAGCTATTGGCAAGGGCACAGGAAGCTATGGGCAAGGGCAAGGGAAGCTATTGGCAAGGGCACAGGAAGCTACTGGCAAGGGCAAGGGAAGCTATGGTCAAGGGCAAGGGAAGCTATTGGCAAGGGCACAGGAAGCTATTGGCAAGGGGAAGGGAAGCTATGGTCAAGGGCACAGGAAGCTATTGGGAAGGGCACAGGAAGCTATTGGCAAGGGGAAGGGAAGCTATGGTGAAGGGCACAGGAAGCTATTGGCAAGGGCAAGGGAAGCTATTGGCAAGGGCAAGGGAAGCTATGGTCAAGGGAACGGGAAGCTATGGGCAAGGGCACAGGAAGCTATGGGCAAGGGCGAGGGAAGCTATGGGCAAGGCCAAGGGAAGCTATGGGCAAGGGAAAGGTAAGCTATTGGCAAGGGCAAGGGAAGCTATGGTCAAGGGCAAGGGAAGCTATTGGCAAGGGCAAGGGAAGCTTTGGTCAAGGGCAAGGGAAGCTATTGGCAAGGGCACAGGAAGCTATTGGCAAGGGCGAGGGAAGCTATGGGCAAGGCCAAGGGAAGCTATGGGCAAGGGAAAGGTAAGCTATTGGCAAGGGCAATGGAAGCTATGGTCAAGGGCAAGGGAAGCTATTGGCAAGGGCAAGGGAAGCTATTGGCAAGGGCGAGGGAAGCTATGGGCAAGGCGAAGGGAAGCTATGGTCAAGGGCAAGGGAAGCTATTGGCAAGGGCACAGGAAGCTATTGGCAAGGGCGAGGGAAGCTATGGGCAAGGCCAAGGGAAGCTATGGGCAAGGGAAAGGGAAGCTATTGGCAAGGCCAAGGGAAGCTATGGTCAAGGGCAAGGGAAGCTATTGGCAAGGCCAAGGGAAGCTATTGGCAAGGGCAAGGGAAGCTATTGGAAAGGGTGAGGGAAGCTATGGGCAAGGCCAAGGGAAGCTATGGGCAAGGGAAAGGGAAGCTATTGGCAAGGGCAAAGGGGGGGGGCAATCGACAGCGCTGTAAAATATGAATAAAACGAATGCAAAATTCTACAATCTCTCTCTAAGTCCTCTCTCGCCCCGTCAATGTCTTTCGCTTCTTTCATTCCGATTTGCCTCAATACCCACCTAGTGACTTGTGATTACCTGATCTCCTCCACACCCACTTCTCACTTGCTTCCCTTTGAACAATTCCCGAAATACTTACCTTCTGTCACTCAATTCTCACTTGTAATTTTTAAAAAATTATCTGATCTCCTTCTCTACTCACCTCATGACGCGATAAATGTCCATTAGTTGATCTCCATCTCTAATTACCAAATGACGCAATAAATGTCCATTACTTGATCTCCATCTCTTACTCACCTGATACCGCGATAAATGTCCAGTACATGACTTCACCGTCTCTGTCTACCCACCTGCTGACATGATAAATGTCGAACACACGCCCTTCCTCCATACTCACCTGCTGACTCGTAACGAGCGCCCCATGTTTCAAACACGTCATGAGAGTCTGAAATGAAACAAGAAACAACAACAAGATTTAATAACTAGTTACGTCAACAGAGCGTTTTTAGTCTTCAACTAAAGGCTAAAGAAGCTTGACCTTTTCAGAGACCCCCATAGGCTTACCATGGAAATATTGAAGTCACTTGGGACCGCACAACAGTCTCACCCCTATTTTAAGTGGTGCTATTTGTTTCATAAAATAATGTTACGAAGGGAAACGTTGGCAATTTTATATTTAATTGATACCAAAAAAAAAATAAATAAATAAATAAAAAAATTGCTGCATTTGAGTTCCAAACTAGCGGAAGTTAAGTTGTTCCGTTACTCTTAGCGATCCTTAATGTGTCAGCAATGATAGATACATAGCTTAAAATAATATTTGCATACGTTTAAGGTCTCTGTAAATGTGTCCGTTTAAGGTCCCTGTAAATGTGCCCGTTTAAGGTCCATGTAAATGTGTCCATTTAAGGTCCATGTAAATGTGTCCGTTTAAGGTCCATGTAAATGTGTCCGTTTAAGGTCCCTTAAAATGTGTCAGTTTAAGGTCCTTGTAACTGTGTCCGTTTAAGGTCCCTGTAAATGTGTGTCAGTTTAAGGTCCCTGTAAATGTGTCCGTTTAAGGTCCCTGTAAATGTGTCCGTTTAAGGTCCATGTAAATGTGTCCGTTTAAGGTCCCTGTAAATGTGTCCGTTTAAGGTTCATGTATATGTGTCCGTTTAAGGTCCATGTAAATGTGTCCATTTAAGGTCCCTGTAAATGTGTCCGTTTAAGGTCCCTGTAAATGTGTCCGTTTAAGGTCCATGTAAATGTGTCAGTTTAAGGTCCTTGTAAATGTGTCATGTAGTTAATGAAATCGTAGTATACGGATATGTTGAATTAATTGCTGATTACCTCCACTTTGCCTCCAGTAACAGCAGAATGAATTGGAAGCTGTCTTTCTCTGTCTTTCATTGAAAGTATGTTCTCCACAGAGTAATTCTGCCACGGCCCTTGGGGAGTATGGGAACATAGTCAAATTAAATCTGTCCAAAAACGCAACGCGATATTTTTTTTTGTTTTGAAGTAGCCAGAGTTATTTTAGTTATCGGGTGCTGTAGATCAGTAGAAATTTATTGTGTAACAAAGCCCATTGTAAGGCACACACACACACATACACACACACAAACACACACACTCTCTCTCTTTCTCTCTTTCACACACGCAAACACACACACTTATACACACACACCCAACAACCCAGACCACCACACACTCTCCCCCCTCTCTCACACATACACATAGACACCCAACCGCCAACACCCCTACATACACTCTCCCTCCCTCCTTCTCCCTCCCTCTCTCTCTCTCCCTCCCCCTCTCTCTCTCTCTCTCTCTCTCTCACACACACACACACAAACATTCATACACCAACTGCATGTGAGTACTGAACTGCTAACTCTGTGTTCTGCTACTAATGGTGACCCTGACCTTCTCGGAGGATGGCCTCCAAAGCGTTGGAAGATCCCGACCTGCAGGCGACATGGACGGGGCACGCGCCGGTGTTGGATCGTATGGTCAGGTTGCCCCCGTACCGCAACTGCGGGATAAGCAGACGTATGAGAGCCACGTCATAAATGACAATCTGGTAGGTATAAATCTATTAGGCCAGTGCTTCCCGAATAGTTTCGATTCTCTTGCGCCATTACCGAAACCAGACTTTCCCAAGTTACCATGTTATGTCAAATTGTAACATGCTCAATGTAAAATAGTGAGTTTGTTCAAAGTGAGGTAAGAAAATGAATGAAATATGTATTTGGACATAAAAAAAAAACAACAGTTACTACTGAGCATCGGGTTCAAACAGTGAACGGTAGATGTCGCGACCGACCGCCTGGACTGAAACATGGATACACAATTACGAAACCTTTATAATATTCGAGGCGCAAAACCTGGGGAACCATTTCGTATATAATACAAATAAATAATTGAAACTGTTGTGGAGTGCTAGAGCCACCGCCTTCAACACCACCCTTGACCCGCTGAGGCTGAGGCGAAGGTCTTAAAACGGCCCTGCGACAAAATGTAGCGATGGCAAATAGGTCAGTCGCCTTGGTGTCTTGGTTTTCCGTATTGCATTTGGAACATCAACAAAATTTCTTCGAAGCACTTCCGTGATCGTTTAACAGCCTTTATAAAAACGATATATTATTCTAGAAAATTGAATGGGCTACTTTGCTATATTCCCGCCCTTTTCTTTCACTGGTCACAGCTCTACGGGATTAAAAGGAAAACAATCACTATATTGATGACCTTTCCGAACATTGTTGGAACGAGGACAGGGGCCAAAACTCACCAGGACTGATATGGCCTTGGCGTTGTCGGCGGCTGCTGCAAAGTGGAGAGCACTGAAACCCCCGTCTCCGCGGAGGTTGGGGTTAATTCCCCTCTCAAGAAGGATCTGGTGGATAGTAGAGTCAATATTGAAAAATGAGCACTGAACCTTGTGTATCAAATAAATAATGTAGGCAATAGCTTGGGAGTATCAAATGTTTATTGTTTGGAAATGCGCCAAGGTGTACTGCCAGCCCTGTCCAGCTATGTGATGAGATGTCAGCCCTGTCCATTTACCTGATGTACTGTCAGACCTTCCCAATCACCTGTTGTACTGTCAGCCCTGTCCAATTACCTATTGTACTGTCAGTCATGCCCAATAACCTGATGTACTGGTCGCCCTGCCCAATCACCTGATGTACTGTCAGCCTTGCCCAAGAAAATGATGTACTGTCAGGTCTGTCCGGTTAACTGACATTGGTCCGGTTATCTGACTTAATGTCACACTGGTCCTGTTACCTGACATTCTGTCGCACCAGTCCTGTTGCCTGACATTCTGTCGCACCAGTCCTGTTACCTGACTTAATGTCACACTGGTCCTGTTTCCTGACTTGTCGTCACCTTTGCTCCTGTTATCTGACTTAATGTCACACTGGTCCTGTTATCTGACTTAATGTCACACTGGTCCTGTTACCTAACTTAATGTCACACTGGTCCTGTTACCTGACTTAATGTCACACTGGTCCTGTTACCTGACTTAATGTCACACTGGTCCTGTTATCTGACTTACTGTCACACTGGTCTTGTTATCTGACTTAATGTCACATTGGTCCTGTTACATCACATTCTGTCGCCCCAGTCCTGTTACCTGACTCACTGTCACCTCGGTCCTGTTATCTGACTTAATGTCACACTGGTACTGTTATCTGACTTAATGTCACACTGGTCTTGTTACCTGACTTAATGTCACACTGGTCCTGTTACCTGACTTAATGTCACACTGGTCCTGTTACCTGACATTCTGTCGCCCAGTCCTGTTACCTGACTCACTGTCACCTCGGTCCTGTTATCTGACTTAATGTCACACTGGTCCTGTTATCTGACTTACTGTCACACTGGTCCTGTTACCTGACCTAATGTCACACTGGTCCTGTTACCTGACTTAATGTCACACTGGTCCTGTTACCTGACATTCTGTCGCCCCAGTCCTGTTACCTGACTCACTGTCACCTCGGTCATGTTATCTGACTTAATGTCATACTGGTCCTGTTACCTGACTTTTTGTCAACTCGGTCCTGTTATCTGACTTAATGTCACATTGGTCCTGTTACCTGATTTGTTTTCACCTCGCTCCTGTTACCTGGAGGACGCGATTGTTCTCCTGTTCAGCCGCCAGGTGGATGGGCATCATCTCCGAGTCGTCCGTGATGTCGGTGCTGGAATTCAGGTCCAGCAACAAGGACACCATTTCTGGATTCCCTGTGGCAATGGCCAGGTGAAGGGGCGTCTTCTTCTGATTGTTGAGCGCGTCCACTTCTAGGGCACCTAATGGGCCAAGGAAATAAACGATTTAAATATATTTAATAGTAAGCTTTTTATTTTCAACGTAGGGAAAAACCAAGTCTGAGATTTTTCATGGTTACCACCCTAAACAACAATTGGACTTAAAATCTGAAAAATTGGATTATAAATTAAATGAAGCTCTTTTTTCTCCGTATCATTCATCTTTCTGTCCTCTCGGATTCTATATTGCAGCTAAATCTTATTTTAAAAAAAAATTGTGTTTACTGTTCATTGTACTCTGAAGAAGCAATCTTTCCGACACGTTCGTTGCCTCATTTTTTTTTCTCAGGTTTTCCCATATTCTGCTACTCTCATTTCTGTTTTGCCGACCATTGTGTTGCCGCCTTCCATCACAGACTTACCAAACATTTACAATTTACGCCGCCATCTAGCACAGACTTAGCAAACACTTACGTCGCCATCTATCACAGACTTACCAAAAACTTACGCCGCCATCTAGCACATACTTACCAAACAGTTACGCCGCCATCTATCACAGACTTACCAAACACTTACGCCGCCAACCATCACAGACTTACCAAACAGTTCCGCTGTCATCTATCACAGACTTACCAAATTTTGTGAAACAATTATTTTCACTTGTCTTCCCACAAAAACCAAACACCCCGCCGTCCCTCACAGACTCACCAAACAGAGACTTCACGATGAGTTTCACTATTTCAGTTTGCCCATTCAAGACAGCCGTGTGGATCAAATGGTTGCCCAACTTGTTGACGGAGGTCACGCAGGCTGGTTTACTGTTAAGGGCTTCAGCTAAGCTTTCCTTTCGACCACTGGCCGCCATCTTCAGGTGTAATGAGAGAGATGGATAACGTGAGAGAAGATGAGAGAGAGAGAGAGAGGGAGAGAGAAAGAGAGAGAGAGAGACAGTGAGAGATAGATAGTGAGTAAGCTATATATTGAGACACACATAGAGCGACAGAGTGTGAGAATACACGAAAAAGACACACATACATTAATAAGCATAAATAAAAACAGTATAATATGTCAGATTAGTTTTCTCTCAACTGACACAATTTTCAAAAATAAAGTAAATACATCTATCATAACAATAATGGCTTTGCTCTTTAAATCATGTGGACAATTGTTGTGTATACAGGCTTCAACGACGTTTTGAAAGTCTTACCTCATTGAGATCATCGAGATCCATGATTGACGTCTGAGCGTGGGTTGAAAGGTTACCAACACTCTAAAGCCCAATTAAGAGGGCCACCCTACTGTGGATAAATGATGTTACTTTAGCGCAATATATGACACAATGACTATCGATGAAACAAATTTGTGTTCGACAACTTCAGGTGCTTGTGGGCTCCCACAATTGGTGTCTTGTTCATTCTAGACAAGTGTGAAACCTGCATCGCAGGTTGAGTATGGAAAAAATGAAAACATGAACAAATTGTCCTATCTGCTCTCGAAAAAGTATTTTAATTACTAGCCTAAGTAACTATGTTGAGATTTGTAGAATTCATGAAGTATTGAAAGTGGACAAAATGTAAGTGAACCATTATTCCAAGGTTGTTTTGAGGAGGGGGGGGGGCGTGGGAATTAAAAAAAATCAAATTGGTTTCTGAGCCCATTAAAATGTTGTCATATGATTTCATTGAGATGCCCAACTTGATTGATGTCGTGCACATAACCAGGGCCGGCGCTAGGGGATGGTGAAGTGAGTGACTGCGCGGGGCCCCGCGCGTTGCCGTAGTATATTAAATAATATACCTAAGCCTTCTAATAGCTCCTAATCCAGTCAACACAATATTCGGAGTTATGAGATAGTCTAAGGGTCTGAAGGTCAGTCTGGCTCCCATGCTATCTCTTTGAGATGAATATCTCGGAAACTAAGCGAGTGAACAAATATCCGTTATGACGCGTCCCGTTATGACCAGCAAGGCCCCAGTACGACTACAACGTGTCTTAATATCCTATCGGCGGATTATATAACGTCAACGGCCCCGCAAAATTCAATTTGCGCATGGCCCCCGCACTCTCCTAGCGCCGGCCCTGGTGATAACCTTAAAATAAAACATCTAAATACTGTGAATGGTTCCTTTCCGAAAGTCAAGTCTTACCGTAGATGAACAGGCAAGGATGCTAGCCACAATTTAGCACAATATATATACACTATTATGCATTATAGACAGAAGACTAGAAACCAGATTCGACAACAGACTCGACACAGTAATGGGTTCATGACAAAAACGGATATAATGTTTTCCCCATAATAGCTATAGACATTACTATATAGACACGACTACACCCGAAATAGACACCATCATAGCCGCACTAATGGCTATAGACACAAGACTTGACACAAGACTAGAAACACTACTGGACACAATACTAGACACAATACTAGACACAAGACTGGACATAAGGCTAGACATACGACTAGACACACTATTAGACACAAGACTAGACACAATGCTAGACACAAGACTAGACACACGACTAGATCAACTCTGGCCACAAGGATTCCTTAAATGATAAAATAAAGAAATAGAAACTAGCTCAGACACTACAATACAACCGAACCAGTCTCAGGATTGAATAGATTGAATAAGTATGAACATTCATTTAAAGTTGATTAATCTCAAACGCTATCATATATCAGTCATTTACCCTTATCCCGTACACTTGTCACACATGCTCTCCTGTATTTGCCCAGAGACATTGTATCAGAGTAGTTGAGACCACCATACCGTTTCCTGTAAGATGAAATAGAATCAAATATCGAAAGCACAAAAGGGCCAAACAAAATCTTATCCAAAATTGTTTCCTCAATATTTCCATCAGACCAAAACAAACAAAGAACAACACTTCCGTTTTTTTTAAGACACAGCGGCACGCAAATTAATTTTTCTTTTTTTAAAAAGGTGCTTATATTTTCCATAGAAATGAGTTGTGAACACAAGAGAAGCGTTCTGAAGTTGCGATGCTAAGAGCTGACATTCCTCTTGCATCCCTCTCGGATACTACATTCCAGCTAAGTGTTATTTTGTGTTTTTCTTGGCGTTTAGGGGTCGGAGATGAATTTTAATGTAACTAACCCATGAAACCCATTTTGTTGCATATTTGAACTTAAGTTAAATTTTAATTTAAACATAAACATTTAAACACGTTAGATTATTTCTTCATTACAGTCCATTGCGTATAAAAAAAAGGAGGTTGGACATCACAAAAACTCCGGGCATGGGCAAAAATTGTGCGGTGGCGATCATCATCATCATGTCCTTTAGTCCTTGGACCATTGGGGCGCCACAGATGAAATGAAAACTATCGTTCTCCAGTGTGCCATGTTTTATAGTCAACATGAGAGGTCATCATACTGCCCAATGGCTTGACAAATACCTTCTTTCACTTGTTCATTAGAGATATGGCGTCTATAGCAGATGCCAAGAATGCTTCTGAAACAGTTCCATCGCCTTTATTTTTAACTCAAGTTCTGTTGTTAATGTCCAGGACTCGCAGAAGTACAGGAAAATGGAGAGGACCAATAAGCTCATTAGAGACCGACCGAAAGTGATTTTCTGAAAGTTAAAAATGACTTTCGGCCGAAACCAAAAATAGGCCGAAAGTTTAAGAATGACTTTCAGCAGAAACCGAAAGCTTAAAGAGACTTTCGGCCAAAACCGAAGCCGAAAATGAAATATTTAGATATTTTGAAATTCGTTCACGCATACATTCTGCATACATCGAAAATTGATTCGGGGGGGGGGGGGATTATCAATATTTACATTCCTTTTATAAAAATGAGATAATCGTAAATATTAATAAATAAACATCTACTATAGGGGTCTCAAGCTTGCGGTCAATGGGCCATTAGTGACCCACAAGACGATATTTTGTTGCCCACTACGTGACAGCAGAGTTTAGTGTTAGTGCGGCCGGCCCGTTTCCCCCATTCTCATATCTATAACCTGACTCTCCGCGACAGTTTCAGTCGAATCTCACCGACTAGTCTAATTCTGATTTTTATTATGTTTCTTTACATTTGCAGGGTTATTATAATGGTAAGAACCGATTTAAAGTCGGAACAAAAGTTTTTATTTGATAGTTTTTTATAAGACAAACACGGAAAGAGTGCGGCTTTGAGAAAATTTTTAAAAAGTAAGTTTGCGAGTAATGCACAAACATAGTTGTGTCAATCGTAGCAATCTGATACAGTATCAAAGGATCCATATTAAAATGGCTTCCAGTGTTTACGTGTGATGGAAATTCCGAGCCTGTCAGCTTGGTCCCTTTGAAAATCTTCTTCTTCTTCTTCTCAATGGCTTTTTACCCAGTCTGGGGCATGGGACATCCAAAAGAATTCTCCATTCATCACGGTCTTGTGCTCTCCTTCCCAGTTGTTTCCAGGTTATCCCATTTTTTTGCGTGTCTGCCTCTAGCTCACGTCTCCATGTATTATTTGGCCTTCCTCTCTTTCTTTTGCCCTGTTAAGTTAAGAACTGTCTGGTGGTGCTATCTGGGGGTTTTCGGAGAGTATGTCCTATCCATCTCCATATTTTCTTTAAGACGTCTTCGTCGATGGGCACCTGGTGAGTCTTTTCTTGTAGATCTTTGTTGGTGATAATATTTGGCCATTTGATTTTCAGGATCGTTCTAAGGCATGCATTTATGAAGGTCTGTACTTTTTGGCGTAATGCTCGCCGTTGATTTCCAAGTTTCGGCTCCTTATATTAGGACTGTCTTTCAAAATTAGGTTAGTCAAAAAGGAATTTACTACAATAAAAAGTCACAATTCATTTACCTACAATAGCTTCTTCCTTTTAGGCCTTCATGGAAAAGGATTGGCCGGTTGTTCCTGTACTAAGTGATCCTAAATGGCTCATGGACTTGATTTTTCTTGTTGACATTACACAGGAGCTGAATGTACTCAACAAAAAGTTACAATACCGGGGGTAGCTTGGCAGTGTTGCCTATGACAATGTCAGGGCATTCTGCACAAAAAGTGTTATGGTTCTTAGAAAAACCTCTGTAATTTCCCAACATGCAAAGTACTTATGGACCCGGGCACCCATTCAGTAGTAACTTAGTAAGTATACTGATGCTGTTGCAAAACTACAGAAAGAATTTGATCACATTTTTTAGACTTCAAAACTCACACAACCACTTTTCAGATTTTTGCTGTCCCTTTCTCCTTTATTGTGCAAGATGCCCCGCCCAGGTAGCTGAATGGAAAAAAAGACAAGCATGGACCTTGTATTGCAATGCCCTCCACTTTCCCCGTGATTTCCAGATTGTTCAAGCGGATGATATGACTTTTTGGGAGTACTTATATGTGTGAAAAGCTGTTTTCCACAATGCACTTTAAAAAGTCAAAGCTCAGGGCCAAACTTACTGATGAGCATCCAAGCTACTCTGAGGGTCTCAGTTGCTTCATCACTCAAGCGAAATCTTATCAAATGTGTAAAAAGAAGCGCTGCCTGATCTCTGGCAACAGTTAGTAGGTGGAAGAAAAAGAACCCTTGTTCTTGAGAACCCTTAATGTTTTTATTTGTTATTTATAAAGACTGAGCAGATTGTAACAGTTGTACTTTAATGAATATTTAATCACCTTTTTGTGGAATACTTGATGCGGCCCCGTCTCTACCTCCTGCGCCCCCCCCCCCCTGATGATTTGCATTTGAGACCCTTGATCTCATGAATACTTTGGCTTTTACCATTTTAATTTAAAAGTAATTTAAATTGTTTTAAAATGTTTTAAAATTTGTATGGTAGAAGAAAATTTTGAAAAGGGGTGGGGGGCAAAATTAATGTAAAATAGACTCTTGAGTGCCCTTTGCTCTTATA